AGGTTCTGCCTCACACAGTGGGGATTCGTGAATGGTCGGCCTTTCTCAATATATATATATATATTGTTTTAACCTCAGAGTCGCTTGCTCGTTATAGTTTTGTACATGAAGTGACAATCTTTTAATATTTCTTTTTCAGTCTGATGATCTCCGAGGAGACCGAGGGCTCCTGCTCCTGCATTTCGTTAGAGGAAGGTTGCTTCTTCTTCGGAGTCTGTTCCCGTTATGACCGCAACCAGGCCTACCCGGTCATCTGCTTTTGTTCCTTATTCCGCCGCGGCTAGGTCTGCTTGGTCATCGACTATATCTGCAGCAGAACTCTCGACTTCTCCTTTGTATCATCTAGTAGACGAGGACGATGAAGAGGAATCGTCGCCGAGTGGTGGCAACTTGCTTCCCTGCAAGAGAAGATCAGTGGACGTCGACAAAGGAGCTGTCCGAGTGGTGAATTCGGTGATGGGGGATTTTGTTGTCCGAGAAACGGCGACCATAGAACTTGAAGATGACGCCGAATTACTACATGTGATTCTGTCATCATCTGAAGCCAAAGAGGGCACGTCTCTCCCTGAGACCGTGATGGAATTTGAAGGGCCATCGGTGGAGTACCTGACGTCTTGCGGCAGGATGAGCCATCGATCTCACGACCAGTCGAGGATCCTTCTTCGAGGATCGACATAAAAGGAAAATTGCATAGCCGAGGAAGGTTACGAGACGGGCTCTGATATGGATACTGAGGAGGGGAGGATGATGGGGGAGGGACTTACCCGACTTGAGGTGAGATTGGAGGGGACCACACGGACTATTGCGATCCCCATGGGTCGGGATTTGCTGGTTGACATAGAGGACATGGTCCCTTCTCTTGGTCCCCTCTGTTGATGTGGAGGGTAAAACCTTTGAAAAGCTTAAGGATGCCATTTTATCTAGGAGCATAGCCGGCCTAGCTCTTAGGTTAAGGTTTTCGATCCCTCTTCGTTTTTGTATGTCGACTTCAAAGCGTCGTTCTTAATCTTTGTTTTCTGTTTCTCTTTCTTTTAGACTGCGAATTTCGAGATCGAGAGTGCCTGACGAGAGAAGAAGTGTAAGGCTATTTTTCAGAAGATAGAGCGAAAATATCGTGAATACCGTAACAAGCACCACGAGATCTGTAGACGGTTCGGTGAGAGCGGCAATTTCCAGGCTCTCCGAGATAAACTGAAGGAGAAGGATGACGAGTTAGTAAGAGTCATCGGAAAATGCATCTTTCCTGAGGGGGTGTTAAGGAACAAAGAAGAAGAGCTTGAGGTGAGCAAGGGGTCGAGGCTCAATGTGCCGATCTTCAAGCCCAGGTGGTCTTATTGTGCGTCGAGCTTGAGGAGTGTCAACTCAAAGCGGGCGCTCTGAGTGGTGAGGTCACTGAGAAGGCAGCATATTTAGAGGAGGCGAAGTTGGCCCGATCGGGGGCTACGAGGAAAGAGGAAGCTTTGGAGATCGTGATCCGCATTCTTCATTCTGAGTGGGAGAGTGCTCTAGAGACGGCTAGGCTTAGAGAGGAGCGGCTTGATAAACGGATAGATGAGCTGGAAAAAGAGGCTTTAGGCCTATGTGATCGAGTTGCTGCTCTCGAGGCCGAGAAGGCACAGTTATTGGCTCGGCCGTATTCTTCCCGTACTTCTGCTTTTTCCGACATTCCACGAGATTTGTACGAGGAATGGATTCACGCCAAAGCCCAGTTGGATATATTTAGAGATCTGATAGGGGCGGTAACTGTTTCAGATGCTGACTTCGAGGATGCTCGTGTTAAGGCGTGTAAAGCTTGGGTTGCTTGTGGCTATGTTCCCGCTACACCAGAGGCCGGTGATGTCGAGGAGGATGCGGGCGTGGATCAGATTGAACAGGATGCTTGGATTGAGGAGGAGTATCCCGCTGGCGATGGCGATGGCGAAGAGGCAGATGGAGATGGCCTAGGAGATCAAGCTGATGGCGCTGCTGGGCCAGGCGATGATTTGTCATTTTTTCTTTCCTTCTTTTTTGCTTAACTGCATATTTGTGTATTTTTTGTGGGCGTGTTTTCGAGCCTTTGTAAAGAATATTCTAAGTATGAAATGCTAGTTCTGTTACTCGTACCTGATTCTTTTTCTTCTGTTTGGGTTTGTATACTTTTTCGACTTTGTTGTTGGGTTGCCTTAGTCATAATAACTTTGTTCAAGAAGGTTGAACGAGGTTGAAACAAAACCTAGGTTTTGATTATGGTCGGGGGCTAGTAGGTGTTGGTTCGAACGAGGTCGAACATATCGCATATTTATTTATGGCTGAGGGCCGATTAGGTGTTGATTCGACTGAGGTCAAATATAGCCTATATTTAGTTATGGACGAGGACCGAATATATGTTAATTCGAACGAAGCCAAATGTAACGTATATTCAGTTATGTCCGAGGGAAGAGTAGGTGTTGATTCGAACGAGGTCGAGTATAACCTATATTTAGTTATGCCCGAGGGCCGAATAAGTTTACTTCGAATGAGGCCGAATGGAACCTATATTCAGTTATGACCGAGGGCCGACTAGGTATTGATTCGAATGAGGTCGAATGTAACCTATGCTTGGGGAGAACAAAAATAAACTTCATGTATTTGTGCTTTGTTCATATACAATAACAACAACAACCCAGTAAAATCCCACTAATGGGGTCTGGGGAGGGTAGTATGTACGCAGACCTTACCCCTACCCCGAAGGAGTAGAGAGGCTATTTCCGAAAGACCCTCGGCTCAAGAAAACAAAAAGACAAAAGGACAAAAGGAGACAATATTAGTATCACCACAGCAATCATAGGAAAAATAAGAACACCATGAAATCCAGAAGAAAGATGCAAAGCAAAAGCGATAGCTAGTAAATTGGTCCTTCACTGAAAAGCAAAATATTAAGACACAACATTGCCACTAGCTATCTTAGATAAAAACCCTACCTGGCTAGTCCCACAATGGTACGAAGTAAGGCAAGACTCAACTACATCCTAACCTACAACCCTAATACTCTACCTCCAAATCTTCCTATCAAGTGTCATGTCCTCGGAAATCTGGAGCCTCGCCATATCCTACCTGATCACCTCTCCCCAATATTTCTTAGGCCACCCTCTACCTCTTGGACAGATTTACATATACGTGGAGAGATTTACATATTTTTCGGGCGCTGGCTGGCATTTCAGTCCCAGTTTATCTAGTCCCTTCATTGGTCGAGCTGGAAAAATATTGAGAGGTCGAGCAATGAACTAGCCGTCCAGTGCCTTCGACTGTGCGCACTTCAATCCTGAAGTATCCCCCTCATCGCCTTGTTATAAACCTCCTCGAGAAAACCCAATTGGGACAAAACTCGAGTGAGGGAAAAAGAGTACGTCTTTAGGGACATCATTCTTTAAAGGTTGAAGTACTTGAGGTGTGTAATATTCCAGTTATTTGGTAGTCGCTTTCCTTCCATTATTTCCAGTGTGAATGACCCTTTGTTTGATGTTGTTATGAGTTTGTAGGGGTCGTCCCAATTTATTCTTAGTTTGTCTTCCCGCGAGTCTTTGCTTGCTTGTGTTTTGGCTTAAGCACGTAGTCCCCGACTTTGAGTGGCCTAATCTTTTCTTTTTTGTTATAATAGCATTCTGCTGGTTGCTTTTGGGCGACCATTCTCACGTAGGCCATACCTCTTCGTTTCTCGGCTTCGTCAAGTTCCTGCATTCTACTGTTATTATTTTGGGGTCCGCTTTCGTAGAAGTATCTTAGGTTGGGCTCCCCGACCTCGACCGGTATTACTGCATCAGTCCCATAGACTAATGAGTATGGCATTTCTCATGTGCTCGTCTTTGGCGTTGTTCGGTAGGCCCAGAGTACTTCTGGTAATACTTCCGGCAACAGACCCTTAGCGTCTTCGAGTTTCTTCTTCATGATGTTCAGTATTGACTTATTGGAGGATTCTGCTTGCCGTTGCCTGCGGGGTGGTAAGGCGTTGAGAGTATTCTTTTGATATGCCATTTTTCAAAAAAAGTCGGCGACCTTCCTTCCTCTAAATTGTGGTCCGTTGTCGTAGCTGATTTGTTTGGGGAGACCGAAACGGCATAGGATGTTTTTCCATATGAAGGTGATCACCTCTTGTTCGCGTATTTGGTCGAATGCTCCTGCTTCCACCCATTTAGAGAAATAAGCAGTTAAAACTAAGAGAAATCGTACGTTACCTTGTCCTGTCAGGAGGGAGCCCACAATGTCCATTCCCCATTTGATGAACGACCAAGGGGAAGTTACTGAGTGTAGGTGTTCGCCTGCTTGGTGGATCATTGGGGCGTACTTCTGGCATTGCTCACATTTTTCACAAAATTCGCGGCCTACTTTTTCATGGTGGGCCAGTAATACCCTGCCCGTATGAGGTATTTGACTAAAGCTCGATTGCCGGAATGAGCTCCTTAGTGGACTTCGTGTACAAGGACGCATCTCGTCTGATTTGGCCTAAACATTTCGCCAGAGGGCCGCCATATGTCCTTTTGTACAGGTCATTGTGAATGATATTGTATCTAGATGCTTGCATTCACAACTTCTTGGACTCTTTTTTATTGTTGGGGAGTACACCGTCCTGCAAATATGTAATAATACGGTTGCGCGAATCCCAAGTCAGGTTTATGGTTGTTACCTCGATTTGATCTATCGACGAGTTGAGGAGGTGGACCACATTTCTTTCTCTGGTTGTAATGTTTTTGGTGTCTACGGCTAATTTGGCGAGGCCGTCCGCCTCGGTGTTCTGTGCTTGGGCGATCTGGTCGAGTTGACATTCGTCAAACTCGGGTAGTAGCTTGCAGATTTAGGTCTGGTACTTTTGTAACCTTTGCTCCTTGATTTGGAAATCCTTATGACTTGGTTGACCACGAGTTGAGAATCGCAGCACAATCTGAGCCGCTTCACCCTGTATTTGAGTGCTAGTCTCAGTCCTGCAATTACGGCCTCATACTCGGCCTCATTGTTAGTCATGTCCGAGTATCTTATGGACTAGCGAATCACTTCGCATGTTGGGACTTCGAGTACGAATCCCAGCCCAGATCCTGATGCGTTGGACGCTCTATCGGTGTACAGGACCCAGAGGTCTTGTGTTTGGCAGAAGCGTGGACGACATCTTTTTTGACTTCGGGCATTATTTTTGCAGTGAAGTCGGCGACAAAGTCTGCGAGGACCTGTGACCATATCGCCGTTCGCGGCCGATATGTAATATCGTCCTCGCTCAGTTCGATGGCCCATTTGTCCAACCTTCCTGATAGCTCAGGTTTATGTAAAATGCTTCTTAAGGGGAAAGTCGTGATGACTGAGATGGGGTGGCATTAGAAATATGGTCTAAGCTTTCGTGAAGCTACGACTAAGGCCAGAGCTAGTTTTTCAATATGGGGTTATCTTGTTTCGGCATCGACTAGTATTTTGCTAATGTAATAGATGTGGGATTGCATACCTTTATTTTCTTGGACCAGAACTGCGCTCATAGCTACTTCGGACACGGCGATATAGACGAGGTGGGGTTGTCTCGGTTCTGGTTTTGAAAGCAACGGTGGCGAGGACAAGTACACTTTTAACTCCTTCAGGGCTTGGACGTACTCAGAGTTCCATTGGAGGTCGTTCTCCTTTTTCAGTATGCCAAAGAACTTATGACACCTATCGGAGGATCATGAAATGAACCTCGAAAGGGCGGTGATACGGCCAGTCAACCTCTGGACCTGTTTTTTGTTGGTCAAGTGCTCTGGTATCCCTTCGATGGACTTGATTTGGTCGGGATTGACCTCGATACCTCACTGCGACACTAGGAAACCCAACAATTTTCCTGAGGCCACGCCGAATGCATATTTTTCGGGGTTCAATTTCATGCTGTATTGCCTAAGTATGCCGAAGGCTTCTCTCAAGTGGTCGATGTGATCTTCTTTCCTTTTGGATTTGACCAGCATGTGATCGAGGTAGACTTGCATCGTTTTACCGAGTTGTTCTTTGAATATCTTCGTCACTAACCTTTGGTAAGTTGCCCCCGCATTTTTCAGTCCAAAGGGCATGACCCTGTAGTAGTACGTCCCCTGGTGGGTGATGAAGGTGGTCTTTTCCTGGCCCTCTTCCTCTATGAGGATCTGGTTATAGCCCGAGTAGGCATCCAAGAAACTTAGTAGCTCGTGCCCGGCCATTGCGTCGATGAGTTGGTCGATATGAGATAATAGAAATGAATCTTTGGGGCAAGCTTTGTTCAGGTCAGTGAAATCTACGCACATCCGCCACTTGTCGTTCTTCTTTTTCACCATGACTACGTTGGCGACCCATCGGGGGTACTTCGACTCCCTCACGGAGCCATTTTCCAACAATGTTTCTAATTTTTCGCGTACTGCATCATTAATTGCGGAGTTGAACTTATGCCTAACATGCCTCACCGGGGGTAGAGTGGATCGACGTTTAATTTGTGCGTGGCGATCTCCTTTGCGATACCTGGCATATCTGCATGGCTAAACACAAACAAGTCCGCGTTAGGAGTTAAAAATTCACGAAATGTACCCAATTCCTGAAGTTTGCAGCCAATGTAAGCTTTCTTGCCGTGGTCGTTGTTGTCTAATTGAATGGGGTCGAGGTCCTTTACAGTCGATCCTATGGCCTCGACCATATCGGGGTCTGTGATGACGTCCCCGTTGTCATCGCATACCGACCTCGACCCTGTTGATTTCTATGCCTCCTTTTCTTTATCCTTTATTTGTTGGGTGGTCGTACAGTCTAGGGCGATGCGGTAGCATTCCTGGGACGTGCGTTGCTTCCCTCGTATACTGAATATTCCCCATGGAGTTGGGAATTTAACGACTTGGTATAAGCTGGAAAGGATAGCTCTCATGGTGTGTATCCATGGTCGCCCTATTATGGCGTTATATGCCGTGTCCTGGTCCATGATGTCGAATGTGGTCTCCAGAGTGATGCCACCCGCTATGACAGGGAGTGTGATCTCGCCAGATGTTCACTTAACTGCATTGTTAAAGCCTGTTAGTGTGATTCAGCGTGGCACTATCTTGTCCTCGAGTTTTATTTATGCGCGTACTCGAGGATGGATAATACACACGCCGCTCCCATCGTCTACCATAATTCGTCTTACGTCGGTATCTAAAATTTATAAAGTGATAACGAGAGCATCATAGTGAGGGAAAGCCAAACCGTTGGTATATGACTTATCGAAGATGATACTTTCTTCAAGTTCATCATACCGTCTGTGGGAGATAGACCGTTTGAGCTTATGGGTTGTGGTGAAATTCACACTGTTGATGGAAGCGTCATCCCCGCCACCGATGATCATGTGGATGGTGCAGGTTGGCAAGGGCGGTTTCGGCAGCCCTTGATGTTGTTCACGTCCCCTGGCAAAGTTGGTCCTTCCCCGACCGCTCAGCAATTCTTTGATGTGTCCCTATCGCATCATGTTTACTACCTCTTGTCTTAGGGCGATACAATCTTCGGTTTTGTGTCCTCGCTCTTGATGGAACTCACAGATGGCGTCTGATTTTTTGGTATTCGGGTTTGACCTCATCTTTTATGGCCACTTCACCTTTGGTCCAAGCTTCTCCAAGGCATAGAATATCTCTATATGTGACCCGCAAAAATTGTGAGCGGATAGGAAAGTGGGGCATACCTCTCTCATTCCGATGAGTCCCTGTTCTTGATCTTGGTGGGCCTTCTTTATGGCGGGATAAGGACGCAGCGGTTGTTCTGACATATAGGAGATGTCGTTTTGGTTTGGTCATGAGGCCACGGGGTCTCTTCTGATATCATTTCTTCGATCTTTTATGGATTCTGCTTGCACCGAGGCCAGTCGATGGGTCGGCCCATTGAGGTCGTCTTCGTCTGCTCAGACTTCGGCATAATATGCGTTATGTATTTTGTCCCAAGTCGTTGGGGGATACTTCATAAGCCGATTTAATAATTTTCTTGTCATCCTTGAACCATTTCTGCTCAACCCATTTTGAAAAGTTGCTACCGCCATTCCTTCTGATACATTGGGCAAGGTCATTCTTACTCGGCCAAAATGGGCGAGGAAGTCCCTCATCCCCTCTCCCGGAGACTATTTGATAGCAAATATGTCGTTTACTCTTGCCACGGCCTTCTTGGCCTCGACATGGGCCGTTACGAACTTATTAGCCATTTCCTCAAAGGTTTCGATGGAACATGCACGCAGATGCGAATACCAGGTTAATGCGCCTCCCATGAGGGTTTCGCCGAATTTCTTTAGCAGAATGGAGGATACTTGTTCCGTGGCGAGATCGTTGCCTTTCACGACGGTGACGTAGTGGATCACATGATCCTCACGGTTGGTTGGGCCATCGTATATTTTCAGATAGGGCGGCATTTTAAAGGTCTTTGGTATGGCATATGGGGCAACACTATCACTATATGACTGCTCGACGAACCGACCAGCATCTCTCTTCGGTAATAGCTTAAGAGCACCCGGTATTTTATCGACCCTTTCTTGGTGTTCTCTCATTTGGTCCCGAAATGCCTTGTTCTCGTTTTCCTTTTCTTCCATTCTTTTCAGAAAGGCTGTGAGAGCGTCGTCACTTCCATTGCTAACAACATTGTGAATAACACATGTTGTCATGGGAGGAGGAGGTTGATCATGTTGCTCGTCCACAAGTGGCGTAACACAGGTTCTCGTATTTTCTGCGGCTGCATTGCGAACGGACTTATGGAGGATGCTGGTCAGTGTATCAGTTAGCCAAGCCTCAAGGAGCTTCTTTATCGCTGGTGGTGCCTCCTCTCCCGCGGATGTGGAGGTTGTGATGCTGCAGTGCGGAGGGGGTGATCCACCTCGACTAGGAGAGGCATTGGGCGTCGTGTTCTCGTCCACTACTTCAGAGTTTTCGTGGATGATGTTCATGAGGTTGGTTTGAAGATCACTCATTATTCTTGTTCTTTCTTCTCTGCTACCTGCCATATTAGATCTAAGAATGTAGAGAGAAAAAGGTTCTTGTTTTGTTGTTTTTTTTTTTCTACGTTAGTAACTAGTGTCAATTGTAGATCTAGAAGAAATTAAAAGATTTAACTAGAAAATCCCAATATGACGCCAAATTGTTTGACCAAATAGTGTAACTTTCGGGTAAACTATATAATTTATGTAATAATGGGTTAAATCTAGCTAAATATAATAACTCTATATGCAAGTCTTGAAAACGTATGGGAGATGGGGATAAATCCCGTAAAAGATTGATGATAATCAGTACAAAATATTCTTAAAGTGTGAGTAATAATGGAGGTGTAACTAACAATAAATAACAATAAATGGCATTTAAGTAAATAGGAGGAGTGATTCCCCAATAATGGATGGATTGGACGAATGCTTCTCCTGACAATGATGAATGACAGATAGATCCGATATTTGCTTGATCAATCCTCGGATTTGGTGGAAAGGTGTGGAATAATATGAGCAAGAGTCTTGATAAAAAGGTAATCTTTGTATTTTTTACAAGAGAGATAGAATCTTCTTCCGAAAAGTCTCCTTGTCAAATGAATATTCCATGCCCTTATTCCCTTTTCTTTTTCCCTTATATATTTGACATATATCCTTAACAAACCCTAATAGTATAAGTGATGAGAATATTCACTCTAATATCCTATTTTGAAAACCAGTCGTTACTATTCTTTACAAGATGCTCGACCTCGATCATGGTTGACATCTCGGCCATGAATTTCGCTTCTTCCTGGTCGAGCTCGACTGACTCTTTCCTTAATATCGTATTACGCTAAATATCCTTCTCGCGGATTTTGGCCTATACACTTATAACATGTATTTCTGTGTGTAAACGTATTGCATGCAGTATTTTGAAATAATGGTAGATAACTATTAACTTGTTAAACCATTTTAAATTATCAAGTCACTTAATTGATAAATATTCATAATAAATATAATTAAGAATTGAAAGTAAAATTCATCTATTAGTTATGTTTTTTTAACAAGGGACAGAAGGAGAATTAATATTACAGCCCCGTACTCTCTTTTACTCATTAGGACTGTGCAAACCTAATCATTGCTGTTGGCACTTTTTAACTTTAGCACACCTTTTTGATTTATCGCTCCCTTACCATCTAAGCAGATGTCTTTGCTAATTGTAAAAGAAGAGTAGCACTATATATATATAGTTGACATGTAATTTTAGCCGCGAAGAGCGGCAAGGCTGTTGATCAAAGCCAAGGCATTACTTGTCAAATGTGCAACTTCCAAAATCTTTCCCCTTACAACAGTCTTAACTTTCCCGTTCATCACTTTTCCTGCAAACCCCTCAGTGCAGGTGTCCTCATCTGTCAAGGCTGCACTGACCCAAGTTTGAATATCACTCATTTTAAGGTCAAAATCTTTTCCCCTTAGCTGCTTCATTTCCCCCAAAGACTTCCTCAATTCATCGACTGTGTCACTTAGTTCCTCCACACAGTCATGCATGGCACCGACCTCTCTCGGCGTCAAGCCTTGGACGTGTGCCAACTTTAGCATCATAGCCGATGTTGATTGGGCTGTTTCGAGGCTAACGGTGAGGGATTCATGGGCTAGAAGTTGAGGGGAAACCCCAATAGCAGTTGCACGGCCTGATAATGAACTGAAACAGAGGTTTGGATATGTAGTTGATTTGCATGATGTTCTTATAAACTCCGTATTTGTATCTCCGGCTGCTGGCCTTGCCGCTGAAACTGACTCCGTGAATGAAGAAGATGTGAAGACAGCTATAATAAGAAAAACGGTGAGAATATGGCAACCGATATAAGCACCTTCCATCTCTCTTTCTCTAATAATTAATTAAGCTTCTGTAATTTGTTTGTCTCTCAATAACTAAAGTTAGCTAGTTCGAGTTATGATGAATTTGGGGATGCAGTTGGTTTCTGAATTTATAGAAGGAGCTAATTGTGGTTAAGAGGGCTAGGGGGATGAGCTAAGTGTAATGGCAAAAAGGTTAAATTTCCTCTGCTTTTTCGCCCTAGTTCATGTATGTGCATCTGGCGTGCTGAGAAGGACACTCCTCGTAGGACCTAAGTTCTTGTTTGCATGGGGTCGAAGGTATGGTGAAAAATAATTCAACTCAATATGTAACTACTTAAAGACAATACATCAGCATGCATAGGCCTACATATTGTAAGAATAACTGTCACTGCTAAAGATGCGTGCGGATAACCAACTACTCCCTCGCTTTCAAGTTATATCATCATACTTTTTTTTTATTAGTTGGTCAAAGAAGAATGATAGACACAGATAAAAATAATTTAATTTTAAACTTTTTATTTATTTATTTTATCAAAGCGTTTATAGTCACGCCTCACAAAACTTTTATCTTTATACTTTAAAGACAAGAAATTTTAAAAATATTTTTTTTCTTAAATTTTATGCCAAGTTAAGTTGTGTGATACAAATTAAAATGGATGGAGTAATATAAAAAAGTAAAAGAACAAATGGAATCAAGAGTTTGGTTGGCTTCGTTAAGGTCTTTGTCTTATTGGCAAATATGCATGAATTAAGTCGAATGCCAGAGTATCTTCTTTGATTAGGTAGTCAAAATGGGGACTACACTTTGATAAAGGTATCCTGTAGCTGGGAAAAGATCTGGATTTTGAATACTGTTCCTGTTATTTTTTAATTACATCAGATTCTCTTGTTCAATGGCAATGAAAGATTGAAAGTGTCGAAAGAGTCATGTTGAAAGTGTCGAAAGAGTCATGTCTTCATTTTTATAACTACACTAGTAAATTTCTCAAACCATTTTTATTATATTATGAATATCTTCTCTAATATTTGATAATTAAAAACATCCAAAAAGTAAGTGTATACTATTAGTGTATTCAAATATTTTTTCAAAAACCGGTTGAGGCCTTTAGTTAGTTTTCAATTTACTATTGACATTTTGTTTGAAAAGAAAAAATTGTAAAAACATTGTTACCTTTAATTTCTATGTTTTTACATAATGTTCGTAGTATGCCTTTATTTTTTATAGATATTTGAATGCATATTTATCTCTTGCGCAATTAACTCTTCGTTTTTATCCTTAAATAAGTGTAACTGTATATATATATTTACATGCATAATATTACTTGGTATATATAAGTGTGTATAAATTTTATTTATTTTCTTAAAAAGTGAAATTTTAATGCTAAACAATTCAAAAGTGTTATGCATGGTGTTTTCAAACCAACCTGAATCAAACCGACATTAAGAAACTGATATACAATTAGTTTGATTTGATTCAGTTTAATATAGAGGAGAAAAGAAAAATCAACTGATATATAAATATATTTATTTTTTATATAATGTTTAATCTTTATACAAGGATTTTCTTTAAAAAAATATGTCTAGATATGTATGTGATTTAATTTTTTCGTCAGATGTAATATTTATTAGAGCTTTTACAGTCATTCAATTTCATTTCATTTCATTTAAATAATACTTGAATATTCTAACGTGCACGATACCTTTTCATCAAATGTTGTTGACTTCTTCACTTGTAAATATGAAAAAATAAACAACAAAAATTTTGATTTGAAGTCAGCACCTAATTATAATTTAGAGTCATCACCTAGCAACAAAAACAATCAGTTCAAGTAAGAGTAGTGGTATAAGGCCAAATGGTGAAAAATCTATATGAACAATATAAATGCCCTCCTGCAAGTCTATTTATATCTACCACATTTATAGATGACTATAAGTCCAACAAATTTCTACTAACGTTAAGTCCAACAAATAAGATATTATCAAAATAAGATAGTCATTTGTTGTGACATATTTTGGATATCTATTTACAAAATTTTCCGTTCACAAATACAGCAAAATAAAGTAGAATAAAATAGAAATACATATTAGAATCAGAAAAGGATCACAAAAATAAAAGAAATTTAACTTCTATATATCGACAATCTAAAGGAATTGAATATTATCAAATCTCCTAGCAAATAACTACAGATAACTGATCAAAAAATGAAGAAAAATAAAGATCGTTATATACACACAAAAAAAATAGTTAAAAAAGAACTAATAACTGCATTGTAATAAATAAATTAGTTCATCTTCTAATGATCCCATCGATATGTGATCAGTATTAAAAATAAATGCCCGTGTTAAGTCCTGCAAGTCTATTTATATCTACCACATTTAGAGCAAACTCCATTCCTGATAAATAATTTCTACTAACGTTAAGTCCAACAAATAAGATATTATCAAAATAAGATAATCATCTATTGTGACATGTTTTGGATATCTATTTGCAAAATCTTTCGTTCACAAATACAGCAAAATAAAGTAGAATAAAATAGAAATACATATTAGAATCAGAAAAAGATCAAAAAAAAAAAAAAAAAAAAAAAAAAAAAAAAAAAAAAAAAAAAAAAAAAAAAAAAAAAAAATTAACTTCTATACATCGACAATCTAAAGGAATTGAATACTATCAAAGCTACTAGCAAATAACTACAGATAACTAATCAAAAAATGAAGAAAAATAAAGATCGTTATATACACAAAAAAATAGTTAAAAAAGAACTAATAACTGCATTTTAATAAATAAATTAGTTCATCTTCTAATGATCCCATCGGTATGTGATCAATATTAAAAATAAAACTCCTCCGCATACTGAATCAATTGAAGAAAAGAGATAGCACTGTTATGAATAACATCCATGTAAAAGGACGAGACTCCTCTCCATTTCCATGTCTTTCCATTTCTCCAAGTTCTTATTTGGATGAGAGTCACATGTCATAGTTAAAAATTGAAGGTTGAGATTTAATTACCAAAGCAAGGTCTTAACCATGATTAGAATAATAAATATTTACTTTATTTGTTCTCCAAATTTTCTGTAATCCCATGATTCTAGCTAAAAACCTTACCAAATTCATTTTTTTAAATCTCTCTTTTCCTACTTTATTACGAGCTCGTCTTTTCTTTTTTTTTTTTGAACAGTTTTTTTTCTTTGTCTCAAATTCATAGTCTTTATATTTTGAGTTAATCTTTTCTTGATTCTTTGTTGTATTCTCTTTTTCTTTAATTTGTTCAGTACTTCTTTTCTTTTTTTCTTTTAACAATTGACAAATCAATGAGTGGCTCGCTAGAGTTTTAACATCCTACATATTTTTTAAACTTAAATTATACAAATATTTTTTTATTTTTTTAATTTTAATATTATACGTTAATTCAATTTTGTCTTATTGTTCTCACTAAGCATTAGATGCCTATTTTCCTCATCTTTGATGGGAATGTAAGAAGAATTGGACAAAAATAAAGAACTCGTACCTATACTAAAAAAAAATTGTCAAAATAAACAAACAAACAAAAAGAGAAGAAAATCTCATAATAAAGTAAGAAAATGAGAGATTTTTATTCAAATATATATGGATTAGATAATATATTAGCTAGAATCATGGGATTACAGAAAATTTGGAGAACAAATAAAGTAAATATTTATTATTCTAATCATGGTTAAGACCTTACTTTGGTAATTAAATCTCAACCTTCAATTTTTAACTATGACATGTGGCTCTCAGCCAAATAGGAACAGGGAGAAATGGAGAGACATGAAAATGGAGAGGAGTCTCATCCTATGTGGATAAAATACACAATCTAGTTAAAATAGAGGGAAGCTGCATAATTTTTTTCTTTTCGCTTTGAATAACGATTATTCTAGACAAAATTGTACGTTAATATTGAATTAACAAATTTTATATTTACGAATTCAATCTAATCATAATCAATAAAATAATTACATAGTCTAAGTCGTAGGAATCTAAAATGAAAATTTGGAAGCCTATTACAAATTGTACATCCTATACACTTATTTTAAGCATTTTTTTAACTCTTATGATATTGCAAATGCACTATTAAACAAAATAACTATGCTTTTCCTTTGTTGCTCAACAAATTAAGAGATTCTTTTGTTTCCTTCCTTTTTTTCTTAAGGAACTATCTGTGGGGAAAAAACATCATAGAATAGAGATAGAGTTACCTCTATAAAGAACAATCACGGGGTTGCCGTCTGTACTAAGGATACTTAATCTTATTAAGGAACGGTCATACCTTTGGCTAAAAGGACACTTGGTTATAGTATAAAGAAGATAAGTTTCATCTTCAACCCAAGTTCCTTCAAAGAATTTGTAGCTCTGCCGTGGATAAAATGGATGATGCATTTGCATTTGCTATTTTATGGTGAAAAAGAAGAACAAAAAGACTTAATGTTAATCGTGACTACTACTCTTAATATTCATAAAGAAATTTCAGCCACCTTGCAAGCAAATATTTCTTATCTTGTGTAATCTTAATCTTTTAAAGAGAAAAATAGGAACAAAATTGTCTCTTTTGCAACGTCTGTCCTTTGATGTCCCTGCAATTAAGTTGGCAATAAAGATGAGAAGTTTTCTGTAACTGTTTTTATGATTATTGAGATGTAATGAGATGCAATAATATGATAGTAATTAAAATGACATTTTTTCAGTGAGTGGAATGAAGGGAAAAGGCAAAAAAAGGAAAAAAAGATAAATAGTAATCCTCATAGGTGGCACATCAACTCTACTATTCCCAGGATTATATATATAGATAGATAGATTATTTTTCTTCAAATAAGTTGAGCAAAATATCTCAACAGTCCGTGAGGTGCACACAAGGAGACTAATCATGCATCAAATTTAGCTTCAACGGACGTGCCCAAAATTAATATGATTGATTACCAATAATGAAACAATATGGTCAAAATAGTAACAATACGAAAGAGTTTATATTTTTGTATTTAGTATGGTGTAAATGATTTTGAAATTTAAGCAGCCATCACCAGTCGGCTTGAAGTATTTTATCCTCCAACATTTACATTATCCAATTTTATGTGATATATAATATCATATTTTTGATGTTTTAGCATTATTTCTCGCCATAAACAACCATGCGACTCTCTTAAATGTCCTATCTTCTAGTGTTCATGCATTATATTTATAGGAAGCGGACTGGAGATATTCTTTCTTTTTTTTTTGAAATGTCTGCCATGATAATAATTGTTATACTAAACTGGGAATCGAAATTCAAAATCGATACCGTAGCGTTATTTCATTGATGTAATGTTTGAGGGCTATTTCAAATAATACAGAGTGAAGTGCAGTTGAACTCTAACTTTGCGAGGGAACAGAACCCCCCTAGATTAAGAAGTGT